TAGCCCAGGCTGGCCTCGAACTCACAGAGATCCGCCTGGCTCTGCCTCCCGAGTGCTGGGATTAAAGGCGTGCGCCACCACCGCCCGGCTGATAAAATCTTTTTTAAAAATTAAAAGCAACCCACATAAACCTCATCTCATATACATTCCCCAAGATGGAATAGAAAACCCTGAAGATCCTGTATTCTCTGTTTGAAACAGGGTCTCAACTGTGTAGTCCTGGCTGACCTGGAACTCAGGGTCTGCCTCTGCCTCCTGAGTTCTGGGGTTACATTCATCATCACATTGGGCCTGTCCTGTATTCTTTACATGCTTTTCTAATCCTGAGAAAATGTAAAAGCTCACACCATAATCAACCACAATTTTTAAATTACCATTTCCCAAAGGCCTTTAATCGGGCACTCAAGATTAGAGGCAGATGGATTTCTGTGAATTCTAACCCAGCCAGCCTTGCCTAAAAAAAAAAAAAAAAAGAAAAAAAGAAAAGAAGAAAAGAAAAGGAAAGCATCTGGGTCTTTATTGAGTCAGTCATGACCAAAAAAGGCTCCCGAAATTGAATCAGAAGAGTAACTAAACTAATGACAAGTTGCAACAATAAAACAGGTGAAAGGAATTGCTACCCGATCTCAAAATGTGCAGTTTTCAACAACCAAAAGGAAACAAGGTGGGCTGGAGAGATGGCTCAGCGGTTAAGAGCACTGGCTGCTCTTCCGGAGGTCCTGAGTTCAATCCCAGCACCCATGTGGTGGCTCACAACCAACTATGATGAAATCTGGTGCACAGGCAGAACACATAATAAATAAATAAATCTAAAAACAAAAACAAAAACCAAGAAACTGTGTCTAAGTAATCTCAACAATGAATTTAGACGAAAGTTCTCTCTGCCCCTTCCCTCTGAGACAGCCTCCTTAGGTAGCTCAGGTTACTAACAAAAGTTAGACAACCTCTTCCTTTTCCTGGTTGCTCTCTTCTTTCTGTTTTATTATTTGTGTTTGTTTTCCACTGGCTCTCACGTGTTCCTGGAACTCGCATGGCGAGAGAGCCCAGTCCTGCTAGTTATCCTCTCACCTCCACGTGCATACCAGAGTGCCTGAGTGTCCACACTCTTACACACATGCATGAAATATTTATGTGTATGTGTGTGTGCTGCCAAGGCAGCCACAGTGACACATGCTTATAATCCCAATATTCAGGAAGCTGAGGCAAGGAAGATTACTGAGAGCTCAGAGGTAACAGAGCCAGGTAGCAAGATGTTGTTTCAAAACAACAACATAAAAAGAAAAAGACAGAAAAGGAAGAAAAAGAAAAGAGTCAGGTGTCGTAGGGCATGCCTTTAATCTCAGCACTCAGGGGGCAGAGGTATGTGGATCTCTGTGAGTTCAAGGACAACCACGGCTACATAATAGAGAGCGAGCCTGTCTCAAAAAACAACACCAAAGACACTTCAACAAAGCAAAAGGCAGCCCCTAGAATTAGAGAAAATATTTTTGGATCGAATATCTCATCAGAGATTAATATAAAAACATACAGAGATTCCTAAAATGCAACAGCAATTACCCAGCAAACTGAATTAAGAAATGCCAATAGAAGTCGGGTGTGGTTGCGCACACTTTTGATCCCAGCACTTGGGAGGCAGAGGCAGATAGATCTCTGTGAGTTTGAGGCCAGCCTGGGCTACAGTGCAAGTTCTAGGACAGCTAGGACTGTTATATAGAGAAACCCTGTCTCAAACAAACAAACAACAACAAAAAGAAAGAAAAAAAGAAATGTCAACAGAGAAAGAACTTATGGATACTTCCCCAAGGTTATACAAATGGCCAATAAACACACGAAGACTTTCAATATTACTAACCACTAGGGGAATGTAAATCAAATCTACAATGAAGTGATCATCTATTAGAATGGCTACTATCAAAAGAACAGAAAATGCATGTTGATAAAGACATGAAATGCGTGTTATTCGTTGTTGTTGAGGCAGGGTCTCACAGCACAGCCAAGAGTAACCTGGAACTCACGAAGTGGCATAGGCTAGCCTCAATTTTTTTTTTTTTTAAGATTTATTTATTTATGTATAGTGTTCTATCTGCATGCACGACTGTACGCCAGAAGAGGGCACCAGATCTCACTACAGATGGTTGTGAGCCACCATGTGGTTGCTGGGAATTGAAATCAGGACCTCTGGAAGAGCAAGCAGTGCTCTTAACCTCTGAGCCATCTCTCCAGCCCGGCTAGCCTCAGTCTTGCAGCAATCCTGTTGCCCCAGCCTCCTGAATGCTGGGATTCCAAAATGAGCTACGGTGTTTCCCCCCGAATAACTGGAGTTCTTATCCATGTTAGTGGCAATGTAAAGGTATATACCTGCCAGTGAAAGCGGTGACACAGGGTAATGCAAAGAACTTCTGAGATTCCATCTCCCTCCAGTCAGAAAGGCTGTTACAGATAATTCACAACAAATTCGAGCAAAGACTCGGAGAGAAAGGGACCCTTATGGACTATTTATGGGACCATAAACTACTACAGATACTATGGAAGACAGTAGGAAGATTCCTAAAATAGAACTGTCACGTGATCTAACTGACCCACTCCTAGGTATATAGCCAAACGAATGACTGCCGTCGGTACACAAAAGACATACCTACATACCCATATTTCATTAAACACGATTCCCTACAGTCAAGTTACGGAGCCAACCCGGACACCCACCAAGACATGAATGGATTAAAATATTAAGTTAAATATTAAAATATTTTATACATATATTGGTTCAAATTTCATTCTTTTTAATACCAGAATATTTCATTGTATATATATATAATGTATATGTATGTATATATGCAACGTAATGTGTGTGTATATTTATATGTATAATAATATATACATATATTATACATATATGTATAATAAATATATATACACACACACACAATGGAATATTATTCTGGTTAAGAAGAATGAAATTCGGAGCTAGAGATATAGTTCACTTGATGTGGCTCTCAGTTGGTGGAGTGATTGCCTATTTTGTATGAGGTTTCTGGGTTTGGTACCCAGGAATGAAACATAAAGTCTGCTGGGTACGGTACTGCGGTGGTTTGAATAGATGTTCCTCACAGTCTTGGGCAGTTGAATTCTTGTCTCTAGTTAGTGGTTGTTTGGGAGAACTAGATGTGGCCTTGCTGGGGGGTAGGCTTTGAGGTTTCAAAAGACTTCTACCAATTTGAGTTAGTTGGAGGCTTTCTGCTTACGGCTAGAGATGTGTGCTGTCCGCTGTTATCCCACAGCTGCCTGCCTGCTGTCCTCGGCTCCGCCCTCCTGGACAGTAATGCCCCTGGAACCGTGAGCCCCAAATCAACCCTTCTATAAGTTGTCGTGTATTTTACAACAGAAAAGAAACTGACATCCCATTCTGTATTCTCAGCACTTCTCCCTCATAAATCCAACTCTCAACAACCACTTAAACCTTATTGTAAATTACTCCTTGAACAATGTACCTTACAAACAAACACCAATAACAACCCGGAGGCTCCTACACATACCCACTGCAAAAACTCCTCTCTCTGCACAAGTCTCCCTTGAAAAGGCCAAGAAACCCATACTCGCACGAGTTTTATCTAGTTCTTCCCCTGAGTATCGCTCTATTAACCACTGTGTTTAAGACTGATTAAAGTACCTTTTAACAAACTCCAGTTCTGCTTCATATTGGTTCTTCCTGAAATTCTTTTCTGCAACACAGTCACGAATCTTGGAAAGACGTCTCTAAGGGGAAAACTCCTCAGGCTGCAGACTGAGTTCCACACTGACCCAGTTTTACAGTGAGACCCCGTCTCAAAGCGACACACACATACACACACAGACGAACGTGTGGCGGTTCCCAGCCTGGAAGGTGACAAACCCAAACTCTGTTTTGAGACATCATCTTGCCACTTGGTCCTGCTGCCTTTGGACTCCCACCCATCTTCCTTGCCCCAGCTTCCCGAATATTGAAGTGACAAGCATGTGCCGCTACGCCTGGCTGAACACCAAGTTTACTGCTTGCGCGTGAGAGTCTGCGCAGCCGCAAAGGTTGGAGTCCTTGTCCGTCTGCTCATTTGGGAACCAATAAAGTTGAATGTCTTCAAAACGGGCCAAGTCGCTTAGGCCCTGTCGGACAATCCTGAAAAAGAACCGGACTGGGAACTCGCGCGCGCTTCCAGGGTTCTCCCTCTTCCTGGCAGTGCAGTCCTCCCAACTCCCAGAACTTTCGTGCCGAGGAGCCAGCGAGGGGGGCGGCACTTCCGGTGCCGCGGGACTTCGCGTGCTCTGTGTTTCCGGTCCGGCGGGGAAGGCGGCTTCCGCAGGCTTTCCCGGTAACGTGGGGTGCCCACGGCTGGCCCACGGCAGCATGAAGCCCAGGCCGGCGGTGTTCGTGGACGGGAGGCTGAAGCAGCGGGTCGTTCAGGTGCGTGTGTGTCTCGGGACCCCGCGTCTCCATTTCCGCGCTGCTGGGTTCCGGCGTGGTCTTGTGGGTGTTGCCGCGGTGGAGGCCGACGCCGGCCGGCCCTCCCCATCGAGGGCAGGATTCTGACCTCTTCTTCAATCAGGACACGGGGTTCCTCCCGGTGTCCTCGGTGCCCAGAATTCAAACGTTAACCCCAGAGCTTCCGGTTACCTTAGGGGGACAGTAAATAGAGGGAGCCCGGGTGCTCTGCCGATGTTTTCTCATTTCCACAACTAGGGAGCCCTGTGTGGCGGATGCCTTCAGTGATGCAGTCAGCGGCACGAGTTAAAGGGAGCGAGAGATTTTGTTTTTGTTCGGTTTTATTGAGACAGCGTCGTCCTCTGTAGCCCTGCCTGGCCTGGAATTCGCTATGTAGATAGACCAGGCTAACCTTGAACTCCCAGATGTCCTCCTGCCTCTGCTTCTCCAATACTAGGTTCAAGGCTTTGTCACCACGCCCCGAAAGGCATTTGTATATCTTTTCCTTTTTTTTTCCTTTCTCGAAACAGGGTTTCTCTATGTAGCCCTGGCTGTCCTAGAACTTGCTCTGTCGTCCAGGCTGGCCTCGAACTCAGAGATCTGCCTGCCTCTGCACCGCCGCCGCTAGACTACCTTGAATTCTTTATATCCAACTTCTGGTTGTTTCCTTTGCTCACTGATAACTGTCTCCAGCCCCAGCCTTCAGCGGATAGTTTTGTGAGTGACAGGTGTTAAACATTTGCTGCTGTATTCGTGAGTGTTTCTGAACATAGAGTGTATAGTGAGCCCTCACTGCCTTAACGATATTGTAGTGGCTAAGGATGTTAATTAAATCTTCCAAGCTGATAGGTGGTGGCACACGCCTTTAATCTCAGCAGGCAGGAGGCAGAGGCAGGTAGATCTCTGAGTTCTGAGTTTGAGGCCAGCTTGGTCTACAGATTGAGTTCCAGGACAGGCAGAGCTGCACAGAGAAACCTTATCTTGGGGGAAAAAAAAGAAAAGAAAAGAAAAAGAAAATCCAATTACAGATTGTGGCAATTTTTTTTAAAAAATTGTGTTTGTGATATGCTTTTGTATTTTGTGGTATACTTTATTCCTGAAGTATTTACATAAAAGTATGTGTTGGAATAACTCAAACTCTTAATTTACTGATTGAAATCTCTTAAGTTAATATATGTCATGTTTTCTCTTTTAGTACCTCGCCAGTAATAGATGTGGCAAATATGTAGACACTGGAATCTTAGCATCTGACTTGCAAAGAATGTACAGGTAAAGAAGTATACCTCTAAATCCTTGCTTTTTTTTTAGCCCCCCCCCCTTTCCATTTTAAATATTCCATCTTGCTTAATTTTTCTCTTGATATCAATGACTGCTGGTATTATCTTACCAACTCATAAACTTGAATCCAAAATCAGTTATACAAACATCTATAATCATCTACTATATTCAGTGTTATTAATTCGTTTCACCAGAGGAAATGGCTCCTTTTTTCTTTTGTTATCTCTTCGATTGGCCAGGAGATAGAGATATTGCTTTATTTTTTCCATATTTGTTTCATCAGAAAATTAAAGCCATCAAGCATGTTCTTCCTCAGCTTTCAGGCTCTGTCAAGGAATGTGAGTCAGGCCTGGTGGCCATGTCCATAATCCCACCACCTGAAAAGCTGAGGAAGGAAGATTCAGGTTAAATAAAAAAACAACGATGGAAATTCTCAATTTGTAAGCTAATTGTATTCCTAAAAAGTTCAGTTCCTTTAAAACTATTCAACATGGGTTTACGTATACGGCAGATGGGTCCCAGGTTAGGTAACTAAACTTGGGATTTTTCACAATCATGAATGACTGGCTGAACAACTGAGAGTCTTGAAGGAGTAGTAGATTTTTTTAGATGGAATTGTTGTATCCTCGCTCACTGAATCTCTTAATGCTCTTCAGTCTTTGTGACCATCTAAAATGCCCCTCACATGTTCATTGTACCCGCTAGGAATGCCACTACTACCATCATTGAAAACCACTCTTCAGATCTGTGCTAACCACAGTCATTGAAGGGATGTCTTTAGAGAACATGGTTATTTAACCTGACCTGACCACCCCCCTTTTTTATAGCTGTTAATGCCCTTATTTTATTTTGGTGGGGCTTTCTTTTCTGTTTTGTTTTGTTTTGAGACAGAGTCTTAATGTATAGCCCTGGCTGCCCTGGGACTCACTTTGTAGACCAGGCTGGTCTCCACCTTATAGTGATCTGCATGTCTCTGCCTCTGGCTTTCATGTTGTTGTTAAGAGCATGTCTCATACAGCCCAAGTTGGCCTCCAGACTTGTAGCCCTGGGTGACTTTGAATGGTCTTGCCTGCAGCTCAGGTGCAGGGACTACAGGTATGTGCTACCATATCTGATTTTATTTGTTGCTTGATGTTGAACTCACTAGGCAAGCATTCTCCTAGCTGCCCTACATCCCTAACCCTCAACTGCTTTCCAGTATAAGCTTCATGTTTTTAATGTGTCTAACAGGCACTGTAGATGTAACCAACTGTATTATTAAATAAGAAACACAGAACCAATGTAAAGAAGAAAGCCAAGAGGTTAGAGTTCAGAGCTAAAACCTTACCCTTCCTCCTACGGTGGTCCTACCTCTCCGAAAGAGACCTACTTCCTGTGTGTTTGTCTTTAATATAGTCTTTCTGTTCTGCCTTCTCATTGGTTGTAAACCCAAACACATGACCACCTCATCACTGCCTGTATGTACAGCCCTCCAGGTCTTAAAGGCGTATGTCTCCAATGCTGGCTGTATCCCTGAACACACAGAGATCTACCTAGCTCTGTCTACCAAGTGCTGGGATTAAAGGCGTGCACCACCACCACCACCACACTCTTGCTATGGCTCTAATAGCTCTGACCCCCGGGCAACTTTATTAACATACAATTAAAATCACATTTCAGTACAAATAAAATACCACCATACAGGCACATTATTCTTTTTTTTGCCATTGTATTATTTATTATTATAATTTTTTTTTTTTTTTTTACAAAAGTTTATTACAATGTACAGCAGGCTCCAGGATAACACTTCATTCTAGCTGTAGGTGGTAAAGATTTTATGGCAGGGAATCCAGATGTTTAAATAGGAAGGGAAGAGGCTCACCATCATCTCAGATATGAGGAACAGCTTACTTTTTGCCAGATTTCTTAATTCCACCTGTGGCCAAGTGTCCCTTGCCCACGGCCTTGGCTTTTAGCTCCTCAAGTTTCTTCTGCTCCTCTTTCTGTTTCTGCTTGAAAGCCTCGTCTTCCTCGTCCATCTCCTCAGCCTGCTTCTTGGGCTGTTTCAGGGGCTTCTTTTTGCCACCTTCGCGGCCTGACATGGCGCCTACAGACAGCCCCTTCACCAGACCCCGATCCTAAGCCCAGGCACATTATTCTTAACAGCTGAATTATTGCTACTTTAAAAGTAAAGTGCTGTTAATAGTGGACAAGATTAATTCTGGTGAGAAGGTTTGTTGAGGAAGCCTGTGTGCTGGCCTTGCTTTGTTTTGTTAATAGGCTTTCATATAGCCCAGAATGGCCTCAAATTTGCTATATAACCGAGTGGCTGCTAGGAACAGAACTTGGATCCTCCGCAAGAGCCATATCTCCAGCTCCACCCTTTTAAGATTTGTTTACTTTTTATGTATATGAGTGTTTGCCTGTATGTATGTATATGCACAGGGTATATATATTTGTGGGTGCAGAGAGAGCATCAGATACCCTGAGCAGGAAATTACAGGCAGCAGTGAGCTGCCATGAGGGTGCTGGAGACCAAATTCGGTTCCTCTGCAAGAACAGCATGTGCCCTTAACTGTGGAGCCATTTCTCAGCCCCCAAATGCTATATTTTTTATGCTCTATATATTCTTAGGTCTTTTAAAAATTAGGTTAGGTTTGTCATTGTTTTAAATCTTACTTTGATAGTTGTGTATAGAGTTTTAGGGTAAAAGCCTGGCCAGGCTGGTCCATCAGATAAAGATGAGGAATGAGAGAAGTAGAGAAAGGAGACTTAATTAGTACACTGGGAAGAGGAACTGATAAAAGGTTCCAGTGACCTGTTTGTCTTCAGGATTCTGAATGGAGCTTCATGTTTAAACAGGGAGAATCGAGACAGTAGAGCAGGAGATGTGAGTAATTAAACAATTCTGATCAAGGTGTCACTAGTGGATCATTATTGCAGTTCTTGCTCCACGAGGGTCTGAAATTAGCCCTGTCATATTTGAGGAAAGGATCTGGTTCCTATAGAATGATTACTCTTCAGGGTGTAGTCTAGACCATCATAAGTAATTCTTTTTTTTTTTTTCCTCGAGACAGGGTTTCTCTATGTAGTTTTGGTGCCTGTCCTGGAACTCGTTCTGTAGCCCAGGCTGGCCTCAAACTCACAGAGATCACCTGGCTCTGCCTCCTGAGTGCTGGGATTAAAGGAGTGTGCCACCCCTGCCCGGAGGGAAGTAATTATTCTTATTTGGGGTATGGTTTGTACTACCAGGTTTTGCCATGCCTGGAATCACAGATGATTACAGATTTAGGGCAACATTTTGTGTTTTCAGCCTTGTAGGGGGATGAAAAGATTTGACACTCCTGAGTGATTATTGTCCTGATATAGGAGCCTGGTGAATTGAAAGGGCGGGCAGAGATGCCAGCTTTTATCCTATTCTTAGTTAATAATTGTGGGTCCAAGGATGGAGTCCTGTGCTTTCCAGCAAAAACACCTTTGCTTTTTTCTTTTAATTAAAACATTACCAGTGGGACCTGGCAGTGGCGCACACCTTTAATCCCAGCACTCGGGAGGCAGAGGCAGGTGGATCGCTGAGTTCGAGGCCAGCCTGGTCTACAGAGTGAGTTCCAGGACAACCAGAGCTGCACAGAAAAATCTATCAGTGTGTTCTCTTTGTGTGTATACATGCACATGTTCACGTGACAGATGCCATGCCATATCATGCATGTGGAGGTCAGAGGACAACTTTGTGAAGTTGTCTCCTTCTACCTTTCTTGGGTTCCAGAGATCATATCCAGGTGGTTAGGCTTATATGGCAGAGAGCTCTGCCTGCTAAACCTTCTCACTTTGTTATAGTTGTGCCTATGTTTTTTTAGTTAGTCATTTTCTAATTTATCTTTTATTTATTTATTTTTAAAGATTTATTTATTTATTTATTATGTATACAATGTTCTGTCTGTACATATTCCTGCAAGCCACAAGAGGGCACCAGATATGATTACAGATGGTTGTGAGCCACCATGTGGTTGCTGGGAATTAAACTCAGGACCTTTGGAAGAACAAGCAGTGCTCTTAACCTCTGAGCCATCTCTCCAGCCCTATCTTTTATTTATAAGACAAGGTCTTGTTTTGATGTAGTACAGGCTGTCTTCAAGCTCATAGTCCTCCTGCCTCGACCTCCAGAGTGTAGGGATTGGAAGTGTGTTCTGTCAGGCCTGGCTTTATCTTTTTAATGATGTGTAGCTGTCTTGACTGAGACTTAACTGAGCACCATTTCGAAAAGAGTTAATCTTGGGCTGGTCATGTAGTTCAGTTGGGGGAGTGATTGTCCAGGATGAACAAAGCCCTGGGTCCTGTCCACAAAACCATAGCTTTAAAAACGAGGCTGATGGTGAATGCCTGTAGTCCCATCACTCAGGATGTGAAGGCAGAAGTTCAAGTTCATAGCAAGTTGAGGCCAGCCTTGGCTGTATAAACCTACCCTTTAGAGAGAGGTAAGCTTTAGTGATTGAATGTTGACCCTCATGTAGGTGGTTCTTGCTAGTTGTAGATTACTCTTTATTGTTGTCTTGAATGTTGTGTTCTGTTTTCTTCCATTTTAATAGGCTTGCTTAATAAAAGTCTCACACTTCATAGTCTCCATTGAAATGAACTGAGTACCTGGTTTTTGTTGTCTTGTTTTTCCTGTGTGTGTGCACACACATCTTGGCAGTCCCGAAGTCATTCCTTGCCTTCTGCCTGGTTTGAGGCAAGGGCTCTTGTTTTTTGTTCATTTGTCTTATGTCACCGACACCACCACCCACCCCACCCCCAAATCTTGTCCTGTCTCATCCCATGTCCTCCTCCCTGGCTGTCCTGGAACTCGCTCCGTAGACCAGGCTGGCCTCGAACTTAGCGAACTGCCTGCCTCTGCCTCCTTAGTGCTGGGATTAAAGGCCTGTGCCACCACATCTGGCCTTGTTTTTGTCTTTTATGTATATTTATCTTATGTGTACATGTGTATACTTGTGTGTACTTGAGTATGTGACTGTGTACCACATATGTGATGTCAGGCACCAGGTGTGTGATATCAGATCCCCTGGAACTAGAGTTACAGTTGTTAGCTGCCATGTGGGTGCTGGAAATTGAAGTTCGG